TTTACGCCTTTTACTTCTTGCTTTCTTTGGTCGCTCTGTCTCTTTCTTTCCAGTCTATTTTCACACAAAACCCTCTCTCCGCGAACGCGAATCACAACCATTTCCTCCGGTTGACAAAGCTTTAGCTCTGCTGGTATTGTTGCGTTGCGGGTTGATTAGAATTGCAAAATACTGAGAATTATTGTTCAACTACAACTTCACCAGTTCGATTTCCCGCTCAAAACGCGTGTTGCAAATGACTTGCTTACGCGACTTCATATCCACTACCCCACGTGAAGCCCTCATGTAATGCCTTACCGTGTGCCCGCGGAACGCTGCACCAAAGCTCGGCACTCGAGTATGCGCACTTCACTGTCATCTGCCGGTGTCTCCTGGCACACACTAATGGGGTATCCAAGTTACGCACGGAATCGGGCCTGCGCATTACTTTCTTCCTCACCTTCCATTACGTAATGGCTAAGATAGTGCCCGCAATGCAGTCGGCCGCGCATGCTAAAAGAAGCACCTTGCACGGTCGATGATACCGTCTCAATTCCAAATTTTTCGCTTTCAGTGTAGGTTGCTACTATTTCCTATGTATTTCCAAACGCTGCGATTAGCATACTCAGCTCATGGCTTAGTATACTAATCAACCAAAAGATACATGTCATATCGTCCGTCAGAAAAGTTTTGATATGTCTATTTTTCTGACAAAGCCAGTTAACTGTCAGCCTTCGGTAAAGCAATTAAGCTGAACTTAATTACTTGCCATGTACCCTAATAAATAGTTAATAAAGGACCAGGAAAATATAATAAGACTCGCAGTTGGTGTTTTCGTTGAGGGACAGATTTTCACTATTTAAATTATCGTTATAATCAATAATACAATTTTCATTCTCGTCATCATCTCCATCACCACCAGTACTATTGCTATCAGAATCAATATCGTAATCACTGTTATCATCATTATTATTGTCATTTTCATTATCGTTGCTATTATCGTCATCGTTTTTAACAGGATTGACAGATATTATCGGGTCTACTTGTCCTCGACCAGGTTATTAGACAGCTTAGTTAATTACAGAGACCGACGATATGTTGTTACAAAGCGCAAGAGGTTTGTTTTTTTTTTGTGTGGGTTTTTTTTTTGTTTTTTCTTCAGTTGAGGAAACATAGAAGTTCTTTCTAAGAGTGTTAATCAAAGACGAATAAGAACTTTTAACCAAACTGTCTTGTTGCTACTCTTAACTACCTCTTAACCTCAGAATTGCGCTTTAGGTGAATACTGGACTCAAACGTTTGGAGGAAAATTTAAATGTGTCAGAAAACAAGTTAGCCATGGCGATATCTGAAACGAAGATAAAGGTGAGTGTACCCTTTTTAGTTCGTTTAAAAGATCTTTACTTCGGTTTATGTTAAGCTCTGGTAAGAGACATTTGCCAGCCACAATTATCAAATCACCTCCAGGGAACCTTAAATAAAGCGTAGCAAAACCACGATCGATCTACTTCGGGCGAAAAAAGAAAAAGAAAAAAACAAAGATCATATTTTCCCTTGCCCCTGTAACGGTTCACAAGGACCACAAAGACCCAGAGGAACTGGACACTTCTCCCAGTGTGAACACAATATTGAAGATTTGAATGGGAACCAAGTTCCAATCACCAGCAACATTTTACCAAGTCAAATTATAGTGATTAAGAGTAAATTGAATGTAGTAACTCCAAAGGAGAAATTCAACACTAATCCTCCGTAATTTTATTGATAACGGGAAGTGTAAGGACGTCTGTCAGATTGTTTGCCTTACCTTAGCGCAGATGAAAACCTGGATTATTCACGTTATCTGACGTGATACGCCGACATGGATTGATGTATGCTCTGTAATTTGACAACATGTATGTGGGTCCTTTTTATCAGGAGTTCGATCGATTTAAGTCTCCAAAATAAAGAATAGATGATAAATTATTAAACGGAAGTAGTCAAATATTCTTCTCTATTTGCTGTCATTCGAATAATTCCGGTTTTTTTTCTGATTGCAGGATAAGAAGATCGTTGGTGTCTCATATACAACAGACCATGCTCAGCTTTATCTGCTCACAACCCAAAAAAACCCATGTAATGATCAGTTTTTCTACCACTGTAGCTGTTATGGTCACTATGGAACCAGCCAGGCTTCTATTCAGTGCGTTAGGCATTATTGGGAATGTCCGCTGATCACACGAACACATGAGCCGAACCTTTTCGTACGTAACTAGAACTCATGCAGCGCGCAAACCATTAGCTGCTCAACTACTTATACCTTTCTCCCTGAATGTATGCAATAAATTTCAAACACAGAAAGTGTTTAGCAATTACTTTAATCTTATTCATTTCCCATTGCTTTAAACTAATTAGAGCCATTTACAATCCTCCTTAAATCACAGTGACTGAAGTATTCCACTACGTTTATTAGCTCTTTTTCTCTATAATTTTCTCTATGACTCGATATCACCTGATGCTTCATGGTTAATAGTTATGGGAACATGCTCGGCCTCGGAGTCTGGGTCCTGGAACTTGCTGCATCTTGGGTCGTCTGGACCTTTTGGGTACTCACCAGTCCAGTACAGATACTGAATCCACACGTTCATTTTTGTGAACACTGAACGCTGATGCACAAAAGAAGAAAAAATTGGATAAATCACAACATATTGTAGCCGCCAGCATCTTTCCATTAATTTTATCCGTTCAACGTTTTAACCGCATGCGCAGTCGTTTTCGATTCTAACATAATTTGGTACATGACTTTAGTTTAGGACCCTTATGGCCATAACAAGTAGCCAATACTCCAATCTCATTCCGGCAATAATTTACAGTTATTTGTTTTGAAATGAACAAAGAGTAAAAGTTTTTTAAAAATACTTTCCTAAATGCATGACATCTACATTATAAGTTTTATAATGCCATTGTTTGCTTCAATTTTCTTACGAGGCATCAGATAAAATATTCTCTGGGATGCAAGCAACGAAAAAAGAATGGTAGCTCTCTTGGAAATACATCACCACCATAACATACGTCACCACGGAAATTAAACCGTGCTTCGAATTTCGAGGAACGGGGGGGAGGGGGAAGGGGGAGGGGGGTTGCGTCAATCGATATTTCACTCACATCTAGTTCTTTCAAAAAAAATTGATCAGTAAAGAAATCTGGAGAAAAATAGTGATAGGAAAAATCAAGGAAAAAAACCTTTTTTATTCCGCTGAAAAGTAATATAATTTGGACAAGTAAAACGCCAACTTTGACGTTAAAATATTGCTGTTCCTCTGCAATTGTGAATTATCGCGTGTGGAAAATTGTTAGCCTGGAATACGTGGGGATTATCTTTATTTTCAGATGCCCAACAACCTCTTAGTCAAATCTAATAACTTTCGCTTACATCAAAGTCCTTGCAGTTTCCGTCTGTTATGCGCGAGCCACTGGCTTTACAGGGAGTTTTGCTGTCAATCGGTATGGTCATCTCGTAAGTTCCAAATGGACTCCGGCATTCTTCTGCTCCAAGAAGAATGTCATCACACGGTGAACCGCTAAGATAATGACAGCACATTGGTTGAAAGCGGTTATCGTCCTTGCCCATACAGAAGAGAGAATCCTCTGAAAATGTGCGAGAAGAAATGTTTTACAAATAACTTGAAAGGACAGCGATGCCCACTATGTCCAGACTTATCAAGGTTATAAAGGAGGTGTTTTTCAAAATGCTCCACGCTCCGTTTTCATCAGCGCTTTTCTGGCTTTAGTTAATGATAGGAGGAAGAAACGCATCAAAAAGTATGCGTTGAAGAGCGAAAACGAATTGGTGTGGTCGGAGTCTAATCTCCTTCGCAGTTACTTGAGAGCCGTTCTGTAGGATGTCACGCCTTGATGATAGAGTTGCGTGACACCAGGAAGAAGGGCTTTCGTGAAATATTATATAAGGTTAGGCTTTTAAATCATTACTCACTGTTTCCTTTTGCTTTTTCTTTGTTGCATCCTTCGGTATTAGTGATTGCAAATCGGTCGAATTCTAACGTCCGCCATGATCCTAAAGGCTGCCGGAATTCCCTGACATTCCCGTTTCCATCTCTAAAGTAAGAGCCACTGAGATGTCTTAATTTAAGATAAACCCTCGATGGGTAATCACCGCTTTGAGATTCGTCACCTTCTAGCTCAACGTACATCTGTAAAAAGAAAAGTCGAAAACAGAAAACGAAAAAAAAATCATGGAGATTAGGGCGAACAGATCTTAATTCTTATCGTCAGTTAGAAACTTTAGACTGAACGTTATCTTCATTGACAGTCAAATTCCCCACTCACACCAAAGCATAAACATGTTTAAAAGCTGTTTTGTTAAAACACGGTTTTGCATTGTTTTTTCCGTAACAGCTGCGTAAACCGATGTTTGTCGACTTTAAATTAAGTGCATTTTGAAAATTCATGTTACTGAATAAATAAACCTGTGGAAAATCCAGTTTTTCAGATCACTGTCTCTGATCATGATTTTTATTCAGTTATAAACACGGTTAAACATAGTTCAACTAAAGAATAACAATTGTGGTTGACAATTGGACAAATATGCTTTTAAGAATCACCCCTAAAAGCAAAACATTGTGTCCAAAATTATTCTTCTTTTTTCATATTATGCTCCATGTAGTAACTAAATTTAAGAGTGTTTAAAAGCCATGTGTGTTTCTGAAGAGATTATAAACTGTATATAATCTCGTGGTATTTGTAAAGCCTTGAAATCAGGCTTTCAATGAAGTAACTTAGTCTTAAAAAATTGCAGAAAAGAAACAGAAACTAAAAAAAAAAGGACCTCAAAAATTTTAGTAAATAAGTACTAGAAACGCAGTTTAACGTAAGGAATCTTACTCATTATGCTGGCCTTATGCTCGATGCCCTTACTATAAAATTATGGCCAAAGTTATGCCAGCACAATCTATCTGAGCCTAGTTATTACCTTCAAAAGGCGCACATTATAACATAGATCGCAGCTATCTGAAATTTTCAATGAAAACCTCGTAGCGCCCTTATGAAGTTCGTCGAACATCTGCAAGAAATGATGAAGAAACTATAAGTAAAGAATTTTATAGCAATAAAGATGACATTTAATGCAGAGGTTCCTTCTACAGAAATGAAGTAGCATATAAAAACCTTTCCTGCAACAATCGAACAAGGTAACAAGCCATACGGAAAACTGCCAAAGTTTGCTCAGAAAGACAAAATCAAAAATCAAAAGTCAAATGAAGGAAATGAAATGAGTGTTTAACGAGGTTTTAACTTAATCCAAGGGGGCTAAACAGTCAATTACTGAATGAACTACCCAACGAAAAATACCAAAAAAGAAAAGGGAAAACAAGGAACAATTGTGCAAAAAATATCAACAGCAACACTAACAACTGCAAAAAAACGTCTGTTTTATTTAATAGCTCATTGTAACAAAGACAAAAGAAAAACACCACACACCACGTTTTCTTTAGCACTGTCAAACGTCCATTTGTGCGTGGTAATTGTGTGACGAAATTTTGTGAAACATCGCTGTCCCTTATTTTCGATATCGTCAATTTCTTGAAGTGCTTTTGTAAGCTCTAAAACCCCTTGGAGATTTCCTGTTCCCTGCGCGGCTAACACTGCTCGCCGTTCGAATTCAGCTAATTTTTCCTGAACAATCCATAAAGAGCGAAACTCGAAACCTTTGTACAACTGGTACAATTGTCGGGCAAATCCTGTTTCTATCTGCTGATAGGACGTAAGTAAACCATCCAGAAACATCTGTTGTGTGCTTTCAGCAATGGGAGAATCTGAAAAGAAAATATGCTAGCATTAGGCCTTTGCCTACTCAAATACAAATGCACCATTATGTTAATTTAACAGAAATTATGAAAAACAGCTGCGGTAAGTTGGATGAATTTGGGAAACGAATCTGTCACGCTTAATATTCATTTTCCTGCTTATTTACGGAAAGAGGATCACCAACAGGGAAAGCGTGAGGCGACGTGATATCCAAGCTTAACTTGATGGGATATTTCGGCGAGAATGTATAGCCACACATGTGCACGACCGAGCGTGGGATCTTAGGGTGCAATGTATAATCACAAAGATCCTTACCACCAGAATTACTAAGGCTTTCAATTTCATTTGCTGTCTCCTCTAAGTTTGAGATGTCAAATTTATGTCCACCCACTTCGTTGTCCAAGTCCATGACCTTTGCTATGAGATCGATTCTTGCGGCACCGGCGATAAAATATCGTTCGATCTGTTCTTGAAACTTTGCCGAGTTTCGAGGTTTCGACCTCTCATCCAGCAGGCAAACAAGGTCCGCTGCAAGTCCCTCTTTGTTCATTTCCAGATTAGCCTTTTTATAAGAATATCAAAATTTTTGTCATGAACTGGATATCACTTGGGAAGCAGCAATAGAGTTAGGGTCAAAGAAAGAGGCGCACAGACTGACACACAGACAGAGCATCAGAGAGACACAGAAAAAAAACAGACCAAAGGGTAAAGAGAAAGACAAAATAAATAAAACTCAACGATTAAATCAGTAGATAAACAAACAAACAACAAAATAACAAGCTGTTGAAACACAAACATTAGATATTGAAGATGCAGCATTTCCGTGTTTACCTGCATTACTTCAGGTACAGCAGCCACATCCATTTTGTCAAAATCCAATTCACTTGAGTCTTTTAGGGCAGCATAGTCCTTTCCAAATTTCAACCATTTTTCTACTTTATCCAAATTATCCTGAAGTTCACCAAGGTCACATTTGCCAGCAAAATGCCCAATAACCCCCAGGGCTGATCCAAGGGCTGCGAAAGGATCTTTCCCCATTGCACCACTAAAGAATCCTGTTATTCCCTCAAGAATGACGAATAAGTCGTCGCTGTTAAATTTTGCTTTTTCGTACACGTCTGGAAGCATCGCTTTTGCTTCTAGAAGATTGCTCTTCATGCTTGCCTCCAGCTCACCAATAGCCTAGTGCAGCGAAGAGGAGACAAAACAATTGTAATATTAGGGCAAGGATAACAAGGAAGTTAAAGTCAGAAATTTAGCCGATTGGCTTATCTTTAGCTGGAGTTTATCTAGGACTCCGTAGCTTAAGACGACTGGGGATAATGCCGCGCCAACTGGACTGTATGCTACGTCATCGCAGGTTATCCTTCATCAATCCGCCTGCCTTGCTAACTCTTCACTGATGCTCTTTGGTGGAGAGAAGTACTTTAAAAATCAAATTTCATCACCAATATTGACCAACTTTGTTTTCAACCCAGACCCAGCCGCCCGACCAGCGCGTTTTTCGTTAGGCCTTTATTTCGAAGCTATACTCATGTGTCCCTCCCAAGTTTACTTAGAATCGAGGCATCTGGTCTGTTTCTCTTTGAAATAAATGTTTTAGAGAAGGACAGTACGCCGTATGCAATGCCAACGTTGACAAAATTCGCTTACGAAAGCTTTTTGATTCAGAGTGTTTCAAGTAAAGATCGCCGGTATAGCATTATTCACCTTAGAAAAATGTAAGAGGGAAGACCAGTTTGAGATCTCAGTTTCACAGGTTGGTACTCTCTCGATAAGAAATCATTATATATTCGACAATGAGGTTTCGACTCTTACCAATACATATGCTCCCTTTTCGCTTACTGCTATTCGTTTGGCCTCAACCAGTCTGTTCTTTTGCTTTATAACTTGAAGTCTGGCAGCCTGTGGTAGTGCTTTTACTATTGTCTTAACGTCATCATGCCGTGTAATCGATTCTTTGATAGCATTGTAAGCGTTCTCAAACGTTTCTGCACGATCTTTGATGACTTCGACCTGTTTCTTGAAGGCCTCCCATTTGATAATAGGTGCGAACAGTTGGTTCTTCCCAAATCTGTCATATCCTACTTTGTTCATAAAAGCCAGTCTTCTCTTTGCCACTAAGAAATAATCCAAACGAATGATTAGCAAGGGAGTTGATAAGTGCTTGTGTACCGCTTCAAACTCCCAATGGGAGATTACATTTCACATCATCTTCTATGCAGATTACGGCCTTAAATTCATTGATAACCATTCACTCTTTTTAGGCTGCGCCCCCAGTCCTAATCTTTTGTTCTTACCACATTTTAAGGTCATCTGTAATCTATAACTGTACAAACATGGAATCTATTTGGGAAATATAAGTATTTATTGTCGGGCTGGGATCATGTCTTTCGAAAATAGAGTTATCAGCAAATTTCTTTTATGTTATTTATTTTAATGAGGTACATTAAACGAAAATATATTCGAAAATACCGAACCTTTTCTCAATTCAGACGCTCCAGCTTTGCCACTTGACAATTTTACAACAAACTTGAACACAGCGTTGCTCTTTTTGACATCGTTGGCCCAGAGAAGTTCTTCACCATATCTTGTCATCATCTTTATCAGCTGCAGAGGATACTTTTTCAATTGCTTTGGACCCAGACTAAATTTCTGAAGATACGACATTTCCTCCTGACCATCGGAGCCCTTTGCGACGAGTTCTTGAAAGTAAAATGACGGTAGGAAAATTGAAATGCGTTAAATTTGTATTTGAAGCGTAACCTTTAGACAGTGTTTTAGCATTGCCCCGCAAATTGAAATTTTTGGGAGGAACCTTCGAAGCAGGACCAAACTAGTTCCCATTCCCTTCCCACTGCAGTGTTGATGAACTCAATACTTGAAAACATTTCATTTCAGTTTATTTTCTGAACCAACACCACAAGTTTAGAGAGGAAGAAGGGGAACGCTTAAACTTGAAACAGCGTTCCACTCTTTTCTCACCTGTGAAAATAATTGACAGAATTCTTTGAAAAAAAGACAACCAAATGCTCTCTCCCTTCCCTTCTCATTCTTGGCCAACACAGTCCGTACGAGAAGGGAAGGGGAGCCATAACCTGGGAACCTTATTCCATTTTAAGGAAGCGTAAGACCATCTAAAGTTAATTTAAAGAATAAATTAATAACCACATAAAAAACCTTGTCCGTTGCTTCCGCTTCTTCCAGTTGCTCCGCGAGCGGCCTCGCCAGTTTGTCCGGATGATTCACACCAGTGACTACAGGAATAAAATACACGTCCGCCGGAACATCTTTCCTTCTTCCTACAGTTTATTCCGCGGCCGCCTCGTCCTCCTAAACCACCTGAAAACAATCTTTCAATTTATCAAACTATTCGTTGCTCAGTCAATGCTTCTGCATTGTTTCCTCGTGCAAAATTTTATTAATTGAGAATTTCTGATTCCTCACCGGCTCCTCCTAATCCGTTTATTGCCGCCTGCCCTCCAAGCCCACGACAAGATGTTAATTCGACATACCCTCTCACTTTCAAAACATGAAGAGTTTGACGACCTGCATTGCCACCATTTCCTGTTGTTAAGTTCAATAAATGAATAAATAAATAAATAGGCGAGGGACATAAGTAAATGTAGTACATTTAAGTGGTGATTACTACTGTTTATAACATAATAAATTCGTGTACAAGAAATGAGAGTCAACAGAGCGATTGTTTCAGTTTTCCACTGGGCGCGGGGTACACTAAAAACGTGCGTGTGCATGGCTGGGGAACCACCATATAAGGCATATTACTTCATGCATCAGCTGTGTGTTAATCTAGATATGAAGCCCTTCAGAAGATTGGAGAGTACTTAAGAGGCTGGAATCAATTGCTTGAAGAGCGGTCAACTCTAATGCATCTTTCGTGCTCTCCGTCGTTTTCACCACATCTCATCAAACGCACGCTGAACCATTTTTGATATGGATAATTTGGTTTTAACAACTGAGTTGAAAATGGAAATTGACCACCGTGAAGAATTTCTAAAACTGTCGTTTCTAGCGTTAGCTGTTCATCATTCCCTCTGAAAAAGGACTAACATTCGAAACGTCAACTTTTGAAACTCTTTGCGGTAACCAATTTCTATTATCAACTAAGTTGATAACACCAAAATTAATTATCCTGTTAATCCCCAAACTGACGCAGCACTACGATTTCTTGAGAAACTTACTCCCTTTAATTTAATCAACTCTTAAATAGACATTTTTGAATCAATAATCAGTAAAAGTAAAAAAACTTGGGCAAGAAAATGATAATTAGAGTAAGAACGCGTGGTTGCGGCGTCGAAAAAGGAAGTATTAGCGTTAATAACAATTTTTGGACAATTAGGTGAATCTTTGGAAGCTCAAAAGAAAGAAATCGATTTATTCTGTTATGGTTAGAATAAATTATTAAAGTTTCAGTTTTACCTGATCTCCCACCATCTCCGCCGTTTCCTCCATTTCCGCCTGATATACCTGGTATCCCTGCAATGTGACTAGTGCAGCCATACCTTGTTTCGCGTGCTTTGCAGTCAGAGTTCGTCCTGTCTGGTTGCTGTTTGAATAGTAAAGTTAGACCAAGTACTGATTGTTTATTGACATAAAACCTCCACTGTTAGAGTAAATTTTCGTTCTATCATCAATAGTGAACTTCCCCAGTCCCCTTCAGGTGATAAATTATGACCTTTGCCTTAGTTTTTCTATATCACGCGTATCAAATAACGATGATTATTGTAAGTATATTTTAAGTTTAAGTTTAAATCGGCAGCGAGGTTTTCACTTAGATTATAGAAGGTCATGATGGTGATGAAAAATAGTAATGAGAAATTGTTGGTGGTGAGCATTCCATTTTGACATGAGTTCATTTTAATTTCCTTCAATAAACAAACGTTGCCGAGGATCACGTCCTTGAATGATGTACCTTGTGCATGCTGTCGGCTGCCTTTCTTCCATTCGCGCCATTTTGCCCCGGTTTTCCATTTCCGCCACTTGTTATGATATTTACATAGCCAGCCATCATTTTCGCGTAGACTGTGACTTTAGATGACAGATTAAAAAATAATGATAATAAAAACTTGCGTTGCATAATCCAAAATTCTGACAATTTGCGACCCCATTCTAGTGACTCTGTTGTAGAAGTAACGCCACTACAGTCAACCCAGTCGTGAAAGTGCGATCCCATCCTGCAGCACATCCCTACTAGCTTATTTCTAGGATGTACCCCTCGGGGATTTGGTACCTCTAGACCCCCACACAAATGATACTTGGTCCTGACCTACACAAGCCACATACGAAAAAGGGCAGAAGATAATAGCCTTAAATTTCTGGCAGTCCTTAACTCACCTGTTGGACCATGAACTCCATGCTTCCCATCATCTCCATCGGTACCAGGAGACAGGATATTTAAATTTTGCACTAAGTTGGGAGCTCTGAGGTTCAGTTGACTATCTTTCAAAAAGATCACCTTTCGGCTGAATATTGTCAACTTTTTTGTACCACGCAAGTCCACGTCACCCTATGGGAAATAAGCAGCGTATAATCCCTTACATGTATATCGAAACCGCCCTGAGGTAGTCAATGTTCTCTCAATTCAGAACTGTTCGTGCTCCATTTGGACATTCTGAATCGAAACACTTTTCGATTGGGTGTCAAAAACCCAAACTAATTTAAATTGATCGCAACGGTCATTTATAAATGGCCTCCATTGCTACAATACGTTCTTCATCCAACTGTAACTCGTAGAGGTTGCGAAAACATCAAGGTTCAGTTTTACTGATCGAAACGCTTACCACCTGTTTACTACCCGAGAATGTTTTGTATCCAGCCATATTAATTTACGTTCGTTTTCTACGTTAATTATGTTTTTGAACCCATCTTACTAAAGGTAAGGTGGGTTCCTGATGTTAAATTCTGCAATCGGAACAATATAATCTGCGTTGAAGAAGTTTCATGTGTGGGGTGTCTAGTTTTTGTACAACACCCTTACATCGCCTTGGGCAGTAATTATAATTTAGTGTTTATTGTTAAAAAGGTCACAAGTATACAAAACAGAACTTTGTTTGTGTTTTACCCGCTTGCCTCTTTACTAACTTATCGTGCGCAACAGTCAACATCTGTTCGTGAGATCTCCCAGGTTTTGATCGTCACTGAACGTTAGGACTGGTACGAACTGACACAAACTGGGTATGAATTGTCTGACTTTAATACGATTCTATTGAGTACGAAAGGTTCTTGGGAACAAACGAAAGGGTACCACTAAAAAACCAAATTTCCCCTAGCCAAAGTTAAAATAAATTGTAAAAAAACCTACCTTAACATATACAGTATCAGCTAGAATTTCAAGCTCGATTCTATTGGCTCGCTCCTGGGTCTGTCCGAAGGCTACCTCTTTTTTTGTACGAAGATGCTCTTGAACGTAATCCATGTGGACATTCCGACCAAGTACTTGATAACGGTCTGTGATTTCAAGACATTAAAAGAATGTGTTAATTGATCGAGGTTCTTTCTGATAATAACCATGTACCTCGTTATTTATCTCATCTCTATTAAGGACCAGTGAGCACCTTGAGGAGGAGGGGTCCAGAGTAATTTGGGGGGGATCACGTGGTTTTATAGGAAGAAGGAAGGTAGGATCGGTCGTCGCCAACATAATGAACGGGTGACTACAGAAAATCGACTGCCAATGAGAGATGATCATAACAAAGTTAACGAGCCTTGGTTAGGGGGAGGGGGAGAGTCAGCTAAATTTGATCATGACCCAACCACCCACTTCCCCCTTCTCCTCCCCCCCC